ACCTCTAACATGGCTGAGCTGGGTCTGCAGGGACACTTCCAGTTTCCATGGTCACTCTGGATCAAGCCTTGTCAAACCAGGGGCCTCCTAACTGATTAGTGAAAACTATTCTTGTCCATATTTTTTTAAAATGTGCATGTTTTGGTCATCTCATTCAAATAGTGACACCTCTCTATATTTCAAATAAATATTTGCTCAACATGTCAAACAGCTTAGATGACCTGAGTTATATTGAGTCTCTTGGTAAAAAATGAAGATAACTTTTCTGTCATGTAAGAACATGCTTATATTATGCCTCTAACCTTTATTTATTTATTTATTTATTGTTTTACTTAATTTAGTTTTTTTTTAACTTAAACATTTCTATTTTAATGATAGGGGGCACATACAGAACTGGGTATTTGACATTTAAAAATATTTTTTCTTATTTTAACGAATCACAATGAGATAGTTACAGACTTACAAAGTTTCATGATTACATTTCAATCAAATAATGTTTGAGTATCCATGCTTCCACCAGTGCCCTTTCTCCATCACCAATATTCCCAGTATCCCTTCTGCCACCACCATTCCATCCCACTCCCCACCTCTGTGGCAGGTGGCAGGCACATTCTCTCTCTCTCTCTCTCTCTCTCTCTCTCTCTCTCTCTCTCTCTTTCTCTCTCTTTCTCTCTCTCTCTCCTTTTGGGTATTATGGTGTGCAATGCAGGTACTAAGTGGCCAGTATGTTTGGTCCAGAGTCTACTTTTATCATGCATCTACCATCCCAAGTAATCCCTCCAACCATCAATTACTTAGTGGTCCCTTCTCCATCACAGCTGCCTTTGCCCACAGCACAAGAGATTGGCTTCCAAGCCATGGAACAATCCTCCTGACCCACATCTCTACTATCTTTAGGTGTAGTCTCCAATTGTGTCACTTTATATTCCACAAATGAGAGCAGTCATTCTATGTCTGTCCCTCTCTTTCTGACTCATTTCACTTAGCATGATACTCTCCATGTTGATCCACTTATACGCCAATTCCATGACTTCATCATTTCTGACAGCTGCATAGTATTCCACTGTGTAGATATTCCAAAGTTTCTTTAATCAGTCATCTGTTTTCAGGGACTCGGGTATCATGTCATCTGCAAATAGTGAGAGTTTGATTTCTTCCTTTCCTACTTGCATCCCTTTAATAAATTTTTCTTGCCTAACTGATATGGCAAGCACTTCTAGTACCATATTGATATAGTAGTGAGAATGGGCATCTTTGTCTTGACCCTGATCTTAGAGGGAAGGCTCTTAGTTTTTCCCTATTGAGGAAAATGCTTTCCGTAGGCTTGTGGTAGACCACTTTGACTATATAGAGGAAAGTTCCTTCAATGCCCATTTTGCTGAGAGTTTTCCTCATAAACAGTGCTGAATCTTGTCAAATGCTTTCTCTGCACTTATTGATATGATTATATGGTTTTATCTTTTCATGTATTGATATGATGATTATATTGATTGACATGTGAATGTTAAACAATTCTTGCCTCCCTGGGATGAATCCCATTTGGTTGTGGCGTATGATCTTTTTGAAGAGTTGTTGACTTGTATTTGCTAATATTTTGTTAAGGATCTTTGAATCCGTGTTCATCAGGAATATCAGCCTGTAAGTTGTTTTTTTTTTTTGGTGTCTGTGTTTGCTTTTGGTATTAGGGTGACTAGTGCCTCATAGAAACTCATAGAATTTCTGTTTCTTCAATTTTCTGGGAAAACTTGAAAAGGACTGAAAATAAGTCCTCTTTAAATGTTTGGAAGAATTCATTAGTGAATTCATCTGGACCTGGACTTTTGTTTTTGGGAAGACTTTTGATTACTGTTTCAGTTTCCTTGATGGTGATAGGTCTATTTAGGAATTCCAAATCTTTTTCTCTCAGCCTTGGGAGGTTATAAGAATCCAGAAATTTATCCATTTCTTCTGGTTCTCTTGTTTCGTGGCATATAGACTTTCAAAGTAATCTCTGATGATCTTTTGAATTTCCTTGATTTCTGTCGTGATGCCCCCTTTTCATTTCTGATTCGGTTTATAAGGGCTCTCTCTCTATCTCTCTCTCTGTCTCTCTCTCTCTCTCTTTCTTTGTGAGTCTTGCTAGTGGTTTATCGATCTTGTTTATTTTTTCTCAAATAATCAGCTCTTCGTTTCATTGATCTTTTGGATTGTTTTTTTGGTTTATATGTCATTAATGTCGACTCTAAGTTTTATTATTTCCTTCCTCCTGCCTGATTTTGGCTCATTTTGTTGGCCTTTTACAAGATTTTTAGCTGTGAAGTCAGATCATTTACAGGGGCCCTCCCTTTCTTCCTTCCTGAGAAGTGCTTGAAGAGCTATAATTTCCCCTTCAATATTGTTCTAGCTGCGTCCCACAAGTTCTGGTAGCTCATATCTTCATTCTCATTTGTTACCAGGTATCTTTTGATTTCTTCCTTGATAGCCTCCCTGAGCCACTGCTGTTCCACATTGAATTGTTTAATTTACAGGTGTTTAATTTGATCCTCCATATCTGTGTGTGATTAACTTCTATCTTTAGTGTACCACAGTCTGTAAAGAGTTGATACAATTTATATCTTTCTGATTTTATTAAGGTATGTTTTGTAGCCCAGCACGTGGTCTATCTCAGAATCTGTTCTTGGAATCTCTCCAGGGTGGTAATATTTCACATGAGTTGCTATAATTCACTGCTTCAGGGAATTAAATACATCCTCTATGATTCCCAGGAAAAAAGGCTCTCTGAAGTGTGAGCCTGTATCTCCTGGACTTCTTCCCAGAGTCTCTTTCCTTTGCTAATTTTTCTCAATACTCTTTAATAAAGCATAGTCTTGACTGTAATTATGTATTTGGGTTTGTGGGTGATCCCAGAGGGTCAGCTTGTAGGAGAAGTCTTCTTCAGGCCTGCTAGGAATACAAGAAGCGCTGCAACCCCCATAAAGAAGGACCCTGCCATATCTATTCAACTTCAAACCTATAGAAACTAACATGGTAAATCTGCAATAGATTGAACCACTAAGTATGTGTGACCTGTTCCAGTGTTGATAGAGAGCCAATCAGGAGGCAAGATGACTAAACAGATATGATTTTCATTAATAAATAATGTAAATATTTTAAGGAAATTATTTGACATCTTAAGTTCATATTAACAGTTTACTTGGAAACAAACACCTGGGAAATGGTAGAATTGCCTTGGGTAAGGTATATGGAAAAACAGTCAACGCTATAAAAAAAGGGCCAGGGAATAACCTCAGAGAATCAATTAATAAGATTTATTGATTTGAAATCAATTGGGTCCACAGACCCAGAGAAGATGACTCATGTAAGCCATGGTGTGGATGCTGAAGATGCAAGGAAGAAACTCCTTCTAAAAGGAGCTCAGAATGTAGAACAGAAGCAATCCATTTTTCACTAGAGCTGCAAGGTCCAGTTAACTGAAGAGATACAAAAGCATGCAGTGTGATGAACCAAGAAGAGAAATCTGAACAGAAGATGTGGTTCAGAGTACACAATTGGCATCCATGAGGCTGAGTTTAATGCCCAGCACTGTCAAAAATAAATGGCATTCTGAAAAAGGCTCTACTCACTGCTTATATCAGCCAACACTATTTCTGCTCAGCTCTAGTCTTCATGAAGTACTAGGGTTCCAAGGAAGGAAGGCAGGGAATACGTGCAAATGAGACAGGGGCCTCATCAGCTTTTACAGAGTCTGCTGTAAAAGCTGATGAGGTTGCTGATCCACAGCCACCTCAGGTGCATAGTCTAGAATAAACAGGACCAATGCTGTAGGCACTACTTCACCAAGTGTGTCTGCTCTGTGAGCAAATTGTCATGTGATGATGTCAACCAGGTACTGAAACCCTTCAATCTTCTTGGTTGGATGGCAAAAATATGAAACAATGCATCTAAGTTATTAATTTTCAAAATAAATACAGCTGTGCTCAACCTAATGGAATCAATGATGGACAACATATATAAAGGTGTTTCCAAATTTCTATTGACTAATGAGGCAGCTTACAGTGTTGGTATACAGCAGAAGTAAGAGAAAGCTATGAATGAGGAATCTTTTCTCTTCAGGAAGTACCTTCTTCAATTGCTTTGCCAGCAACATGGAAAATTAAATACACTATGACATTTCCACCACTGCAAATCACACATTTCTTGACATATCTTCATCATTAATTGGTAATATACAAGTCTTGAACAAAAGTTCTCTATATAAGCAGATGCTTCATTAAGATTTGACTATCATTCACTCTTAATTTTATCCTGACCATGTTTGTACATTGTGGCCTAGACTTAGCTCATTAATATCTGCTTCTAATAATCCACGTAACAACTGCTTATCGGGAGGTTCTGAACAATTGCATGTCGATTCTAGCAAATCTCCTTCCACTTTGTTCTTTTATCTAGACAATTGATTAGTTCTTATTTCAATTTATATTAAAAATAACTAATAAGAGTTCCAAAGATTAAAAGTAAACAGACAATCATCTATTAAGTTACAATAAGTAAAATTATTCTAAAGAAATTCAAAAGAGATCATTTGTTATCAAAGTAATATTATCATCTGCTGCCTGTTAGCTTTATATATAAACAACATTGCAAGGAAATAAAGACTTTTAGACTTTCAACATGGTAATGAAGAAAAAAATAAGTATACAACATTCTTAGCCTAAGTTAAATGGTAGTTAAACCACATAATTCTTATTGTGACAAACACAATCACAACAAAACTTACCATTTTAAGTTGGAGAAGACATCTCTAATATTTCACTATATTATAAAAATGTCTACTTCTAGTTATTTTATAAATTACACACAAGCTGTGCTTAAAATGCCCCATGATTCTTATAATCACTTGCAAATATTTCAAGTAATTTAGGAGTCTCTGTTTTTATAACTTAGCTGATAAATTTGCAACAACTTGTAGTAGCTAGTGTAAATCCTACTCTGACAGGCTGTTTTTCAAAACAGGAACATACCCAGATGCTTTCTTCTCGTCGAGACTGCTTCCAATTCCTTCCACTATCACTGAACATCAGGAGGTAGCTGGTCACCCAGTCAGAGCTTCCATATCCTCCCTGTGTGGCCACAGCTGTGACTGTCACTCTCTCTCCAAGGTCAATTTGTAGCCACTGATATTGATTTGACACAAGTGGGGTCCAACCACCAGCTCCTTTTCATGAAAATAAAAATAAGAAAAATGGTGAAGAGAAAAAAAAATATATATATATATCTGTACTGGCCTATAGGAATGTGATCATAAATAAAAATCCATAGAATTCAGTCTCAAATTCTAGCATATATAAGTCTTAATATTTACACACGTAAGCTTCTTGAATGTAAGATTATTCTGAATCATCTTTCTTACCCCAGTGTCTGATACGAACACTGGTTAACTATGAATTGTTCATTGGGAACCAGTTTTCTGTTTCTACCATGATCTGAATATTTTCCTTGTAAGAAAGGCCAGGTCAATAAGATTCCAGAATATGATAGAATGATGTTGGTCATATGCATGTTCTTTTCATGGGACTCCCAAACACCAGATACTTAGTGTTATAATACAACATGAACTCAATGAAAGTGTATAATCTAAAATGCTGTACTGCTTTTACATTTAACTTGAAGCTCTGAAAGTAAGGTATAACACTTTTCTTTGGGGGAGGAAGTGTTCACTTAGAAGGAAGTACTCCCAGGGAGGATCCTTCCCTGCAGTTTGTCCACATTCAGATTTGGTCCAAGGCCTGAGGAGGCCTTGATACTCAACACCTGCTTTCATGACCAAACTGATAATCACCCAAAACTTTCTTATCTATTTTTACTGTTTTCTCTTAAAGTACCACCTAGTGTTTTAACTGGGAAGTCCATCTTGACTCGAGCTGTGGTTTAACTAACAGTTCCTATTACATGGGACTATATACATATCCACTGCATTCCCTATAATAATAGTTACCAGCCATATGGGTAATTAAAAATAAAGCTTAAAAAAATAAATGTTGGCATTTATCTAATCCTTTGAACTTTGTGTATTTTCAGTAAAGTTTTGTTTATTTATTTATTTATTTACTGGGTTTGGGGCCACTCCTAGCAGTGCTGAGGGCTTACTCCTAGCTCTGCACTCAGGAATCACTCCTTGTGAGCTCACAGGACCATATATGGTGCAGGGGATTGAACCCAGGTTGTCCACATGCAAAGCAAGTGCTTACCCATTGTACTATTGCTCGAATCCCTACATGTAAAATTTTAGATAAATATTTAAGTCTCTGAGAAATCATTAAATGTCCTATATTCTGGTTCACTAAAGTTCTAGAGAACTACAAATTATACATTTTTTGTGCATTTCACAATCTTTATCTGACATTTTAAATGTTCCCTGAAGCTAGGAAACACCTATCATTTGTGCAGATAAGCAAAGGTAATGAGAGTGAAAGAAGCACCATGTTGCCACTTATGCTGGTTAGAACTGCACCAGCCTCCCTCTCAGAGACAGCCACATCTCTGCCAACCTGTCTTCAACATCTGCAGGAAACAGACCTTGAATATTTCACATTTCCTAACTTTGGTGAAGAGAGCTTGTCCATGTGAAAATAAAGGTTTCTGATTTACCAGTCACACCAATAATGTAATGGAACCAGAATCCCCTGTGCTAAGGGGGCCAATTTATTCCAGAAGGATAGCATGGCCATGGGTGATCCCCGCATCCCTGTTGCTAATCTGAGCACTCACTCATTCACTTGTCACTGAGATGGATGCTTCTTTTTCTAACAGTTAGCTAAATATTGCACGTTATCCATTGAGCATTATCCATTGCACGCGCAATATTGGGTCTGGAGCGATAGCACAGTGGTAGGGTCTTTGCCTTGCACGCAGCCAATATGGCCAACCTGAGTTCGATTCCTCCGCCCCTCTCGGAGAGCCGGGCAAACTACCAAGAGTATCTTGCCTGCACGGCAGAGCCTGGCGAGCTACCCGTGACGTATTCAATATGCTAAACACAGTAACAACAAGTCTCACGATGAGACGTTACTGGGCCCGCTTGAGCAAAATCGATGAACAACGGGAGGACCATGACCGTGACCTAGCTAAATATTGGCTAGAATGAGAAGATACCATGGATATTCACCTAAGGATCTCAGGATACAGTGTTTTACTAACAGATAAGGGAGTCCATTATTTTGGAATAAAATCAAAACAATATAGAGTAGCAAAGGTTTTGGAGGGTTCACTTGCCCTTACAAGCTGGTAATATGGATCGGTGTTGCTTAAGCCAATCTGCTTGCACTATTCAATGCTACAAATCTTCTGGAAACTCCATATGGAAACTCAGTATGAAAACAGAGCCCAGTAGTGCATAATTATTATTCTGAAACACCAGTGCTTAAGGCACAGAAAAAGCCACTTGCCGCTCTAGTTCTTCTACTGCCTCAAGTCAGATTGCCTCTCTCTACTGCCTGCTCCTTCATACAGTCTCAGACCCTTAGCTAACAAATGCATCATGATTTATAAAAATGAGATCATGCATAGCTCAAGGTTCTAGAGCCTGGAAGTATCTTTCCCAGTCCTGGCAAAGTTGTGAGAGGCATGTGAGGTGCAATGCAAACCCAGCAAGAGGATGCATGAAGTACCTAATAATTCCCTTCTGTACATTTTCATTCAACAGAAGACACTCAGGACACAAGAGTAAGCATCACTGTCATTGCTTCCCTAGGAAGTACTGCTGAGCTTTCTGGCTATCTCCTTATGTAATGACCTGTTGCCTGTCACTTTATACTAGAGGTGAGAGTATGAATAAATACCAAGCTATGCCCTGTACAAAGTCAGACCCCACACTCTGCGTGTTACCACTCTCTTAATCTTCACTCATCCACACACAGCACTGGCTATCTGATCACAGCTTTCCAGATTGGGGTGGAGAAAGGGTACCCTTTAAGATTCATGGAGGAATATATTAACACTTAGCTCCTTTTTCATTCTTTACTCTTCTTAAGAAGAAAGACCTACGTTTTATCAAATATTTTTCATTGCATGCCACTATATTTGTATACTAGAAGGAAAGTCTCTCTCTAGATATTTATGATTGCTTCTGGTACTATCAATGGGTTCATACACAGGTAATGAATGCCACATGTCCTGTGGGAGAGGAAGGCTGAATAAGAAACTCTCAGCTGGGGCTTTATTAATCTGGCCGCGGATTATGAGAACAATGATCATATGTCTGGTGGCCACTTTAAGACAACATAACGAGGAGGAAAGCAAAGCAAACACATTGTTAGGGTGGAAAGAGCAGGTGTCCATCGTGTCTCTCCTGCAGATGATGAGCAGCCCCAGGAAAGAGGGACAAGGAACCCTATTCAGAGATCTCTGCATTTCACATGCTGAGTTGAAGCCACGCTCCTCCCCTGCCACTGTCTCTGGGAGACGCTTAAGTATTTGTCTCAGCTTTGATTTCTTAGGAAGAAATTCAAGTGAGTTACTTAGAATTTGTGGCTATTGTGTTGTGGAACATGAATAAATCCTGCTACTGGACCTGTCTAGGTATGCCATGATGCCTCTCTCCGAAGTCACCTTCAATTTCTAACAGTCTGACAGTAGAAAATGGCTGTTCCCACCCCACTCCCCAAAAAGTGCATTCATAAAGAGGCTACAATTACATGATCTGCCTCCTTGTGAATCAGTTTCCTGGGCAGAACACTCATATATCCTATAATGACTTTTAAATGGGTGGTCTTAAAATAAAATAGAATGTGCAGTAAATTTACTGCAGAAATTACAGTCACTTAATCACTTAATCACTTAACTTCCCGTTAGTCGTCGATTTCCTCGAGCGGGCGCCAGTAACGTCTCCATTTGTCCCTGTCGCGTGCTAGTGTAGCCCAATGGCATCTGTTCGCTCCAGGAACATGAAGGGCCTCAAACCGATTATTCATGATCTTGATGAAGAAGTCTGACCATCTGGTAGGTGGGCAGCCATGCGGTCTTTTGACATCCCGTGGAATCCAGTCAGTAACAGCTCTAGTCCAGCAGTCGTCTTTAAATCTCATTACGTGACCAGCCCATCTGATTTTCGTCACCTTGGCAAATGAGACAGCATCCCTGATTCTTGATTGTCGACGGAAGAACTCCGGATTCTTTCTCTCATTTGAGTGAAACGTGATATTCCAAGCATAGCTCTTTCTATTCTTTGGGAGACCTGAATAGCGTTCTCATCTTGTTTGCGTAGGGCCCAGGTCTCTGAGGCATATGTTAATGCAGGAAGAACAGTGGAATCAAAGAGATGTGCCCGGAGCCGGAGGTTCTTCATCCTCTTAGCTATTTCTTCGACGTTCTTGAAGGCGTTCCAAGCCGCTCTCTTCCTCCTGCACAGCTCGGGTGCCAGGTCATTTGTCATGTTGACCTCTCGACCTAGGTACATAGCTGTTGCATTCGGAGATGGTCGTTCTATTGAGAGCGAATGGGGCGTCAGGAACGAGGCTGCTTCTCATAAACATTTTCTTCGTAAGATTCAGCTGTAGTCCTACCTTTCCACACTCACGGTCAAAGTCGGCCAGCATTTGTGCCACTTGGCTGATGTTTGGTGTTATTAAAACAATGTCATCAGCAAAGTGGAGGTGGTGTAATTGCCGACCATCTATCTACACTCCCATTCCTTCCCATTCCAGTCGGCGCATGATGTTCTCGAGGGTGGCACTGAAGAGTTTCGGTGAAATGGTATCACCCTGCCGCACCCCTCTCTTGACATCAACGATCACTTCTTTGTAGAATGGTGAGATCCTGGTAGTGAATCCGCAATACAGCTCACGGAGGATCCTGATGTATTGGGCTTGAATGCCCTGATTGGCTAGGGCTTCAATGACCACTTCCGTCTCAACAGAATCAAAGGCCTTCTTTAAATCAATGAACATTAAACAGAGCGGCATCTTGAACTCCGGAGAAACCTCAATGAGCTTGGTTATCGTGTGGATATGGTCGATGGTGCTGAATCCTTTGCGGAACCCGGCTTGCTCACATGGTTGTCCTTCATCTAGTGTTCTGCCAATCCTATTTAGGATGACTCGAGTGAACAACTTGTAGATGACAGACAATAGGCAGATCGGGCAATAGTTGCCAATGTCATGGATGTCTCCCTTCTTGAACAGTAGTACGGTCCTGCTGGTTTTCCACTGGGACGGAACC